TTAAAAAGATCACTGAGTTAGATCTTGAAATCTCCAGGTTCTCCAGGCACTCCCACCCGCCTCAGCTCACTGCCATTATCAGCCCATCCTGCATCTCAGATCACATTAGCCTGTGGTTGAAACTCCTCATTCACATCAGAATCCTGTCCTAGCAGTGCTCTTTCTCTCACAAATCCTGCAGAGAATTGCACCCATTTCCCGGCCTTCAGCCAGCCTGGACACATTTAGAAATTCATAGTGATTTTTGGATAGAGAGTGTCCTTACTAGGATGTGTTTGTATCGCGTAATTCCATAAGCATTTATTGGGGACCATCACGGTGCAGACAACTGCTTCAGCACCATCAGCGGGAGATCATTCGGCAGACATCCAGCACGTTAAACAACGCGATACTTCTTCATTACCACCTCATTACTCAGCTTTGCTTGCCTAGAATTCTAGAATTCTGTACTTCCTTGACACGTGGTTGCAAAGCCCCACCACTTAATAATACACCTATAGGCAGAAGACTGTTTGCAGTGAAATGTCCAGAGTAGCATGCTCATGTTCCTGGGCAGAACAGGAAGGGGCTCAGACGCTGTGGAACAACATAAGCACACTGGGTGCCTTCAGGGAAATGACGCTTTTGCGTAGGACCGGCGTCAGGCAGAACACGGTTACACAGGCCCATGTGAGGACCAAATAAAAACAACTTTGGGGGAAGTTAGCAATAGTATTACTGAGGCATCCATATTGGCTTTGTCAGCGTTTCATGCAAAATTAAGAATATTAGCCTGATTCCTCATCAAGGAGGGAGGACTTATAAGTTAAGGAAGCAACTCCAGCTCTCCTGCTACGGAGAAACGTGGGGCGTTTCCTTTCCCAGAAGGAGGAGTCAGACAAAGTGGGTCCCCAGTGCAGAAACCTGGATGAGAAATGAGGAGGGCCTGGGGATTGGTCTTTGGTCTTCAACCTCATCTTTTGAGCAAGAATTAGGATAAAGCCACAGACGGTATATGTATCAAATAATGCTGGGAGAGGTAGCTGGTATGCTGGACAAATAATTTCTATTCAAAATATGCTGGAATACTGGGAGGTAATCAAATAAGAGAAACCCAATAGACATATAGTAGTCTGACACTCAGATTCCTAAGTCACCTGTCCAACCAAGGCAGTCCACGAACACAGGTGTGGAGATGTTAGGAGCAGCAGCACACACCCTTCCTAGACTCAGTGCACCCCCTCGGGGAGTGCAGGCAGAGTAGCCCTGGACTGAGGAGCTGAGTTCTCATTAGTCGATCACATCCGCAGTTTCCCAGACCATTCCAGATGCCCCATTTCATACAGCTCATTCCATACTGGAGTCAGAGGAAGGCAACGGGGCTATGGAAGGGTCTGAAAGAACGTTAATACAAGGAGCCGCTGGAGAAACTGTGAACCTCCAACCCAAACAGACGATGAAGAGGCAACTGTCTTCACATATAGAGAGCCTTATTGGCCAAAGGCGGTGCACTTTGAGGGTTAAAATGAATACCTGACAGCAATGGGTGATAAGCCATTAACTAATAAAATAACCCATGAGCTGATGCTAAGCACAGATGTCTAAGCCTTAGATTCTAAGGGCGAGCAAAGAAAGGCTATTCTGGGCATAGACAGGGAAACTGAGGCTACAGCTCTTTAGGTCTAACATGGAAAGAACCTGTTGACAATGGGTTAATTGAGGAGGAACCCAGAGGGCAGGACTCTAGAACTTCCAAAGACCCTCACAGTCTGCTAATAGGGCACTCTTATTGAGAGCATCTAGACTTCTGTTCCCCCTGCCATAAGGGTGGGAAATTAACCTTCACTGAATGTTTAATCGATGCCAAGCAAATGTATTTTCCTTAATCTCCCCAGTGCCTCCCTGAGACGGGCATCTGTTGTACAGGTCAGGAAATAAGGCGCAGTAACTCACGCAGCATTAAGGGCCAGAGCTGGGAGCTGAACCAGGTGTGTCCAAACTCCTTCCTTCCCATAGCACACGCAGGGTGATTAGAAAGGCGCCACTCAGCTAGGTCCCGGGCCCTTTAATGGTCAGCTTTCCTCATCTGCCCAGCCCAGTAGTGCTCCGACCCTAATTCCTCTGGATTGGAAGAGGAAAACGAGGCCTTTCCTGGAAACCCAGTGCTAAAATGAGCTGACCCCTGCGAGGGGCGGTCCCACCCCTCCCCACAGCTGTGCTCTTTGCCCTTGTCGAATATGGCTCACTTCGCCTGAATCAACCCACTCTGTTCTCTTTCTCTGCTTCAGGGTCTGTTTACCTGACCACTGGGAAACCAATGGAGACCAGTTTCCTGGGCTTCTGGTAATACAGATCGGGGGAAATGGAAAGAAACCACTAGTGGTTTCTCTGATGAAGTGGGGTGCAGGTCAGGGGCACATGCTGTCCGGTTATCACTCTTCTGTGTTAGAAGGGTAAGAACATTCTGAGTGACAGTGCCTGGTGAAGACAGGCCCTCTATTTTATTCTGAAGTGGTGACTTTCTAAGTGGTTTTCCAGGTTTTGTATGAAACACAGGCTCTCATCATCTGACCTGCTGCCCACGTTTCTCAAGGCTTGAAGAGGTAGCTCTGGGGTTAATGTTCTTTACAGGCCAGGTTCTCCAGCCGACTAAAGCTTTCTGCTTATAGATAAGGAAGCATCCAGGCTTCTTTTATATTTAAAAACACAATGTTTACATGTTTGGCTGCTTTCAGACCACCTGTTTAAGCTGCCTTTTGTTGTTGTTGTTGTTAATCGTTACCCAAGAATATTTTCCCACTGATTTTTAGAGAGAGTAGAAGGCTGAGGGAGAGACACACACAGAGAGAAACATTGATGTGAGAGAGACACATCGATTGGTTGCCTCCTGCACACGCCCCATCGAGCCTACAATTGAGGTATGTGCCCTGGTCCGGACTCAAGCCCGGGACCCTACAATTCGCGGGCTGATGCTCTATCCACTGAGCCAAACCAGCCAGGGTGTAAGCTGCCTCTTAATGCTGGAGCTCCCTGGGATCAGGGACTGCCCCCTCTGTGAACTCGCTCGGTGTTCCCTGGTTACCTGGGTGTGCTGTGTGCCAGGGGTACAGCAGTGAAGCAGACAGACGTAACCGATGCCCTCGCCAGGGCTTCACAGCCGGGCACAGACAGGACACATAAAATTATACACTCAACAAACAGTCCACGTCTCTACAGCATCCAGCACAGAGCTCAGCACAGGGCGAGTGCTTCTTCCTGACACGTGACCAGGGGTGTGGCGGAATGTGCAGGAAGACCCACCAGCCGGGTTAATCGCAGCGTGGGGTTCCATCCTTGGACTTGTAGAGGGAGGGGGAGATGTGGGTGAATCGGGAAGATCTGGGTTCTAGTTTCTGCTTTTCCACTAACTACTAGAATTTTCCTGAGCAAGGCACTTAGTCTTTCTAGGCCTCAGTTTCCTGACGTATAGAATACGTTGAGGGCACCAGGATTCCTCGTGAATAACGAAATGCCTGCTGTCAGAGGTGTTCTCCTTCAACCTCACCTACCTCACCGGAAACAAGGATGGCTGAGCCCACTCTTCCTAGGGCTCACCGCTCTGTGGAAGGGTCTGTGTGGGTCAGGGTTGGGGAACGGCAGCAGCAGCGGCAGGAAGGGATGAATTCCCTGCACCGGGAAACTAACAGGCTACGTCTGAACATGGGAAACTGCGCTGCACACACCACCCACTGACTGCTTAAACAGCAACATGTACCTTCATAGGATATTCTAGGTTATATTTCTAAACAACAGATCAGAGGAAAAAGGAAAGTACAGAAATAGTTTTCTTTGTAAGTTTTTACAAAGTGGAAAAAAAGAACTTTCCATTCACTCTGATAGTCAAAATGGCCTAGTAACTTGAAGGCAGAATGCCAGTCAGAATCACCTTGAAGGTCCTTGAACGCTAGTCTAGAGTGTGATTTAGCACTGTGATCTTAGGAGGTTTGGGGGCAAAGTCCTTTTCCCCCAGTAGGGAAAAAAAATAGGAAAAATGAATACAGATCATCTTTAAAAAAATATACCCATAACTTGGAAAACTAAAATGAAGCAGGGACACAGCCTGTTGCCTGAGCTGGACCGACTACGCCAAAATACTAGGTCTAGATAAACTAGGGCCGAAGGGTCTTGCAGATCCATGCCTTGCTAACAAAATCACTAACGTGCAACACAAGGTCATCTCACATGCTCCTGACCCCGAGGTAAGCCAGTGAGAGTAGGGTCAGAGGAAACCTCGCCGTGTCCCTGCTGCAAACTCAGCCCGTTGACTTCTTCTTCCCCAGCTGAGCAAATGCACTGAGTCTTGGCTACAGTCTCCTTCCTTCCGCTCTCCGTGAGAGCTCCTAACTTTTGTTTATTTGCTCCCAAATGTAAGAGAGCAAGGGACCAGGCTTTCCCACAAGACTACCACGTCCCTGCATGCTGATTCACACCCACTTCCTGGCCCTCTGCCTCTCGGGAACTGAGCCCCAGAATCTGGGCAGAGGAAGGCATCATTCCCCCGGGGGGAGCCCTGTCAGACAGGAGGCTCCCACCAACCAGCATCTCGGTGGCCATTTCCCAAATCACTGGTCTTGGTCTAACTCTGAGGCGAGCCCATTCAAATCATTGTCAATATGAGCCAGTCACAGCCTCTAAGGTCTCTGGAAACTGTGCCAGCCTCAGCTCCCTGAGCCCAGCTTCCCAGGAGGCCGAGCAGCCCCAGCAGCCAGGGGGCACCTCACAGGAGAGAGATGCAGAGACCCTCACTCCTCAACCTCGCCACCTCTGCTGCACTCTCGCAACACGAGAGGCCTGGCTGACCACCCGATCTCTGTCCCCTCAGACAAGATCTCCACGTGACACACCTCCTGCAGCCCTACCAAGAGACCACCAGCTCATGAGGTCAGGCTCCTCAGGGGGAGAAGTTCCTTTGGGGGTAACTCTCCAGGGTGACTCAGCCAACGAGAAGTCTTAGGGGGAGGAAGGTGAGGGTGCTGTCCTACCTTGTCACTGTCCACTGTGTTCTGAGAGGTCCTGGAGGCAATGGAGATGGTATCTGGCTGGCTGCTCCCATCCCCCTGGCTGTCACCATCCTCCACGCCATCCCTGCAGGAAGAAGAGAAAAAAAACAGGGGTGGGGGTGGGGGGAACCGCTGTGGGTGTAGAGCCACAGGATTTCCAGCTGGGCTGGCAGAACAGGGCCCAGGCACTTTCTGGCAGGGATTTGTCTACAGTTATCCCCCTGCAGGGAGCAGCCCTGTGGGATTTCCAGTGATGTAACCGCTTGTACTTAGTAAACACATAATCGCTCTGTTGATAACTGAACATGACTCCTTCTCCAAAACTCCTCTGGGCCATGATGCAGAGGGAGCAACTGTTTATTCGCTTCTAGTGGGAAGGGATCTGTAGTAGGCACTGGAAGAGGCACATCCTACTTAGGACCAAGGCTTCTATCCAGATGACTGGGCCATCACCCACAATCCCAGAACTCAGGGTATTCACATGGCTTTTCTGCATCCTGTAATGGCTGGGGATGGTTTCTAGCTGGCCTACAGAGAAAACAGAACCGATAAGATACTGTTTTGACTTGTGTTTCGTCTGCTCCAGAAACTGCAGTGGGATATTTTCTCCACGGGGATGATCTTTGGGAAGTTCCTGATGTTGGACCCTCAACTCCTGGGAATGGAGGAGTTTATTGCCTTCATTTTGGTGGGTCTCCTGCTTATTTATGACGACTTCTTATAAACACAGGAGGCCAAGGCATCTTCTCAGAGATAGGAGCATAGCCACAGATTCCACAGCAGCTTTTGAGACAGCTGTGCTCCTTAGCGTCAGATAAGACAGGCTCCCAAGTGTACTCCTGGCACCCAGACCCCTTCCTGTCCCCTGGACCATACCACGATCCCGCATGCTCCCTCCACTCTCCAGCTTCAGAACTGTGACCCAATTCTGCACTGAACCTAGAGCCAGGCCAAGGGAATTAGATGCTTGGGAACTGGTGAAGGCTAAATGGTTTGTGTCAGAAAAAAAACTGGAGAAGATGTGGGTCAGGGGTTGGCTAGGTTAGCACAGGCAATGACAGCTCTTCCCATGGAGGTTTTTAGGAATGTCACAGCCCCACTGCTGCTTACGGAGAAGTTATGGCATTAGGGACAAGGGGAACTCGCTGCCTGAGAAAGGTACCATGTGGGCAAAACCCCCATATACTGAAGCTGCCTCAACACGACAATGGTGAGTCTATGTGGACATGTGTGTCCATGTGGGCATACATGTGATGTACAGGTATATATATACATGGCGTCCGTTAGTCATAAAAAGTTATTTCTCAGTTGACTGCTCTTTTACCACTCCTTGTGGACTTGGAAAATGCCAACTTATTTTTAATAACATAAGCCAGCCACACATTTATAGGAAGGAAAATCTGCTGTAAAAAAAAATGATGGGATGCATTTCAAAACAGAAAATAAAGGAGCTTCAGATCATCTGTTGTAGATTTTCGGCCACTGCGCCCACCACTTGTGGAGAGTTAAGAGCTGGCTGTGCTTTCTGCTTCCCACTTTCCGGCCCATCGCAGGCCTGCTGGCCCCTCCAGACAAGCCAGCTCTGGGGGAGGGAGGGAACCCATCCAGGAGTGTGGGTAGTATTTCCCAGGCCAACCTGCTCCTCCATCAACTCTGTCCCCACACTCAGAAAACAAGCTGATGAAATCACAGATTGCCTGGCTCTTCTCTGCAGGGTGTGCTGAGGTTTCTCCCGGTCTTATCACAGAACACAGACAGGGAACAGGGGATGGCATTTCCAGGATATGCCACCCCATGTTCCAGAGATGCCCACTCTCCTACTGCAGGAAAGAGGGGTTCTCTCACGGAGTCCCCCTGAATGGCCCTGCCCACCATGGTCCTGGACATTCAGCTCTTTATGGCCATTTCCATTCTCTCTTCTTATTAAAAGTAGGGCTTTCCTACAGCAGGGTCTATCTCTAGTGTATAAGTCTATCCCTCACCTGGACTCTGGACAAAGGTAACTGAAATCAAAATAACCCTCCCCCCCCCCCCCCCACACACACAGCGAGGTGGCCGTGTCCTGGCCAGGCAGGTCTAGGGGCTTTACATGGAGGTATCTCTCTCCAGCTTCGTCACACCCTCCTTCCAGCTACCACCTCCTTCCGGATGAACGCTGCTATTCCCTAGGCCCGACAGGAGCGCTCCAGCCTGGGTGTCCTGGTTGGTGCCAAAGCATCAAATAAATCTTTGGGATTTATTCCATTCATGAATAGGGGAGGAGAGGAGAGCCAGTGACCCTCACCACCAGATCTCTGGCTTTTGTTTTGTCTCTCCCACCCCCATGATGTTCGTGTATACTTTTTTATTTATTTATTTAAATATTTGGAGGCTTTTGGAAATTTTTACAATGCAGTCTTGATAACTTTAATTTTTCTGTTCAGAAATATGACTGTATTGGATTTCATTGCACGTTAAGCAATTTTACTATGAGTTGAACTATCAATAAAAAATGAATTAATGTTTTAGGAACAGTTTCCTGCCCGGTACAATTAAGTTCTTGAATATTCACTTCTTTCAATTAGCCCATTTTAAATTACTCTGAAATAAAGCTTATTTTCATTATTATTTTTTAACTTTACTTAGGTTATGGACAGTAAATGACACTAATTAAATTTCTGCTATTAGTCTTTGAGTAACTTTATACTAGCCATATACAGAGAGGCAAAAACACAAATTATTTACCTTTCTATATTAGGCCTAATATATTGATTTTTAATTATAGTCCCTCAGATGCTTGAAGGAAACCTCTCTTTATTTTCTTCCAGAGTAACTTCCAGGCCACACTTAGAGAATTTTCAATTATAAAAAATTTTTTGTCTTTCTTTTACACCAAGTAACCTACAGGGCTGCTGCTTTTGTATACTTTCTTTTGAAGCACCCTCCAAAAGAGTCCTTGTAGGTGATGTCACATGGGGACTTGAGAAAGAAATACTTAAGAAGTTGCCCATTGGTTTAAGGCAGGAGGATGAGGAACGTCTGGCCTGCGGGCCATATAAGGCTCCCGTAATCATTTGGTCTGGCCTTGCCAAGGTATTAGGGGTAAGTTAATTAAATGTTTGACCAAAAATAGCAGGCTAATTTTTAAGTTGATGATTTTGTATGGCCTGTGAATGATGTTAAAATATCCAAATGGGTTTTGGCAGAAAAAAAGGCTCCCCGCCCTGGCTAAGGGAAACTGGGATTCAGACAGACGAAGGTACAAAAACATCTGTCATCTTCTGCCCGAACACATTGCTCTTCTCAGATGAATAGAGGTGAGGACTCCGGGGATGTGGCAGTAAGAGCTGCAATGATAACCCCATCATACCACCCCCTGTATTACATCACACAAAGCCCTTTTACTGTCTAACAAGCCCAGAGTTCCCCACTCATGGCCCAGCTCCACCTCCCACCCAAAGCCTTCCCAACACCCCACTGCAGTGCTCAGGTACCGTCCCCACTTCCCACAGTTCCTTTGTCTCTCTGTCATGAGTGAGACGTGCCTGTTAGATGGTTCTGGATAGAATGGCTCTTCTCACACTTGCTTTTATTTTCCTGTAGCACCTTGCAGAGTATCTGCCAAATGAGATTGCTCACCGCAGCCTGCTGAAGGGAACTGCCAGTCGCTGGCAAGATGCTTAGGAGAGCTAACTCATCTCAGGGAGAACTCCTAGGGTTCATGCAGGAAGCCCCCTCCAGAGCACATCCCCTGTGGAGGCAAAGCTCTACCCCTCCCCCACCCCAGAAGCAGGACTGGGAGCACTAGGAGGCGGGAAGACGCTGGTTACCTCTTACTATTGTTCCTCAGTTTGGCTGGTGTTTTGGGGAGCTGGATGGGCTCCTTTAAAGCTCCTTTCAGGTGAATGATCCTTTCTTGAATCACCTCCCGTATGTTCTTGATCCACTCCTGCTTGGTTTCTATGTTGGAGGCCTGGAGTGCCACAGGGAGAGAGAGTCAGCACCCATCTCCCTCCATCCTGCCCAAGCAGTGCTCAGCCCGCCTCTTGCAGCCCTCCTCCTGCAGGCCCTCCTCTTGCAGGCCACATCCATTATGTTTGACACCGAATGTTTGAGGGGCTTACATCTCCTTTTATTCTCAGGACTCTTCAGTCCCAGGGCCATGCTGCTCCAACGAGAGCAGGGCTGCTCCAACTAGAGCAGGGCTATGACCTCAAGATGCAATGGAGACGGGTACAGGGTGATTTCTAAGTATTTATGACCTGCAAGGTGTTGACCAATACTGCTATCTGCCCTGGGGCTGGGGCAGTACCTGGAGGTCCCCTGGACCAAGGATGAACACTTCAGTAACTTGGGAGGTCTGGGAGCACTGGGAGAGGCAGCAAGCGGGCACCAGAAGGCAGTAGTTAACAACCAACAGGAATAGATAATGCTCAGAACGTTCAGCTCCCAGGATGGCCACGTGGGCTGTGGGGCTGCAAGTCGGTCCTGGGTTCTTAGCCTGGAAACCTGCTCACTGGAGGCGTCGGCCCCTCCCACAAATCCCACTTGTCCTCTGTGGAACTTGTTCAGGTCATTCTGTCTCATGACAGGTAGCAGCTGTGCTGGCAATTCAGCGACGGGCACTGCCAGGTGAGCACATGGCTGGTGGGGGCCCACGGGCAGCACCTCTTGCCAGTGAGACCAACATTTCCACGAGCCCTGACTCAGTGACCTGTGTGCATGCCTTGCCGGGCTGACATGACTCACAGCCATCGTCTGGGGGGATGGCCCTTTCTTATCATTCCTCTCGATCAGCATTGTTCCCATGCTCTACAACTCACTAGAGCTTCTACAGTGCATGTTCCCAGGAAGGGCCTATGCCTTACACATACCGCCATGCACAGCACTGAGCAGAATACCTTACATCAGTGGTTCTCAACCTTCTGACCCTTTAAATACAGTTCCTCATGTTGTGACCCAACCATAAAATTATTTTCGTTGCTACTTCATAACTGTAATGTTGCTACTGTTATGAATCGTAATGTAAATATCTGATATGCAGGATGGTCTTAGGCGACCCCTGTGAAAGGGTCGTTCGACCGCCAAATGGGTCGCGACCCACAGGTTGAGAACCGCTGTCTTACATGGACAAGGTTCTCAGGAAAAAATGTTAAATGAATGTGGAGCAAATCAAGGTGACTTTTGTCAAAGGGTCACCTGTTGCCCTGGACACTTGAAGGGCAGAACATCCTTAGTGGGCCTGTTGAGGAAGCCTAGGATGCCACGCCCTGCCTTCTTCACTTTATGCTCCTATGGGTGCATGGACTAGGAGACCGCTTGTCTTTGAGGTGTTGAACCTACTTTCAGGACAGAATTTGCTTCTCAACCCCCATGTGATGCTGCCCTTCTCCAGGCAGACCTGTGGTCAGCTGGCCTCACTGTAGGTTTAAGAGGCCCACATTCCTCCCATCCCAACCCTGGTCTTGAGCCCAGCAGAGGGTGGTACTCACTTTCAGCACAGTTTTATTGTCAGAGGACGGGGTGCGTCCAGACCACAAGGCGAATTTGCAGGGGTCCCCCTCTACGTGCTCCGTCACACCCAGCTCTGAGGTCTGTAGACAGGAAATGCCTATGAGAGGCAGGGAGGGGAGGGCAGTGGGGAAACTCAGGGCTGGGGTGGGAAAGGCAACAAAGAGGAGAGGGCTGAGGAAGGGGCTTCTGTCAATCAAACTCAAATAGACTGGGCGTTTTGTTCATCTACCTGGAAAGAAAGGACCTACAGGCTTGTGCCTGATTAGCAGGTAGCGGAGAGGGAAGGTGAAGAGGGAGGCGATGAAAGCAACAGGAAGTAGAACCGTGGACTGTAAAATGCAGAGGAGGGAGTCAGAGGGAGAGCTTTGCAAATAGGAGGCACTTTCATTTGTCCAGGATGACTCTGGTGTGGCACCAGGGAAGAGATGAGCAAGGGTTCGAGATCCCTTCCTGCCCCAGGGCTCTATGACAACAGGGAGCCTTGTCGTTCCCCACCTACCAGTAGCTTGTTCTTGTAAACATATTTCGTGTGTCCTGAAGAGTCTTTGATCTCCTTGCTAAAAACCAAGGAGATCTCAAAGAGGAACAAGTGCCGCTCCCGCCCCTTCCGGATCAGAGACTTGGGGTCCCACACTTGGAAGGCGTCCTGGAGGATCAGCTCCCCCTGCACGTCCAGGTTCTCGTCGAACCCTGAAAAACACCCATTTCACCCTGCAGAGTTTCTCTAGCGCCACGTTCAGGGTGCCATGCTCCACCCTCAGGGAGAAAGGCTTCCCTGGCTGTGAGCCCTCAGCTCCACTGCGCTTTCTCTCTCGCTGGTTCCGAGACACCTGAGCACGTGAGTAGACAGCTCTTCAGAACCGTAATCAGACTCCCCTCTGCACCAGCTCTCCCACACGTAACCAGGACTCAGGGAATCTCCTGCAAAGCTCCTGTGCAACCTCCCACAGCTCCGCTGTCACCCGGGACCTCTTGCAAGGGCGAACCCACAGCTCCCACTGCCCCGCCTCGAGCTCAGAGTGGGGCTGAGCACACGCACTGCCCAATCGGGTGCCCTTGGCTCCACTTGACTTGGTGTGGCTCTAATTCTCATAGTCCATTCCTAGGACTATTCCTTTGACTGCTCTTATACAGGGTGGTGCATAATCCTTCAGAAATTTGTATTTATACCACTTTAAATCTTTAACAGAGGTTTTGAAACTTTACTGTGTATACAGATCACCCAGACAGCTCGTGAGAACACAGATTGCTGCTCACCGCTCACCCCCCAAGAGGGTGGGATTCAGTAGGTGGGGGATGGAGCTCATGAATTTGCACTTCGGATAAGCTCACAGGTGCTGCGGGTGCTGGTCCACAGACCATACTTGGAGTAGCTAGGTCCAGAGTATAGGTCAGGGAAAGGCTAGAAGAGAAGGGGACACCCCAGGATGGGGGGAGGTGCAAACACAAAGAAAGGGGTGGAGAAACTGTGACAATAGGAATATATTCAGATGGTTAGTGCTTAGTCTGGAGAAGGTAACCAGGGCTCCTTTGCATGTAGAAATGGGGCTTCCTTGCTAAAGGTGACCTAGAAGTATTGAGACCAGACCAAGTATTTTAGATGGTGGGGGGTGGGCGGTTGATGGGGGAGAAGGAGCCCACAGGTTTATGTATACACAACAAAGTATGCTTTCTCCCTCCACACCTGTTGCCAGCCCTGACTGGGATGAGTCGACTCATCTAAGAACTTCCACCCCAATCTGGCGGCTCTGTCCATCTGTTTTGTGGTGTTAAGAGCACTTTATTGGAGCCTCACTCTGCCAGGTTTCTGGATCCCAAGACAAGACATGGTTCCAGGGGACTGAATGTATGTTGGTGAAGTCCTACCAGGTTTACCTGGCTGAACTTTTTCCACCAGCTAGGAATGGCGTAAATGTAGCTGCACACCAATGTGAATGTACTCAATGTCACTGAACTGTACACTTAAAATTGGTTATAATGGTAAACCTTAGGTTATGTATCTTTTACTACAAAAAAAAAATAAAGAAGGGCATTGGGCTGAAGACAGTGTGAGTGTGTGTGTGCGTGTGTGCGTGTGTGCATGTGTGTCCATGCCTGCAGGATTTCTAGTTATTCTTCTGACAAATGCAATGCAACCCGGGGCCAGCAGACGGGATTGTCAGATGAGGAAACTGTGCTTGAGGGGAACATAGATGAACAGGACTGCTGTGGGTCAGGGCTGTAGCCTGCCTGCAGTAAAGGTGATGGCCTGTCCTAGACTATCTAACAGGCAGCAAGCTGTCTATATGCCTGAAATGGCTCAGGCTGGTCCTACCTGAAGGCAGGTGTTAGCTGAGCTGGACCCCGTGGAGCTCCTTGCACACCGCCTGAGGACCTAGGCAACAACTTGCCATTCCTCCTCTCTTCCAGCCTTGCCCCTGGCCTGACTTCATGCCTCTTCCCTCCCATGATACAAGCTCTTTTGTCTTAAGAAAGGAGGGGCTCCCCCGGGAGGCCGAGAGGACAGCTACCTTCCAGCATGCTGACATGCATGGCGTCATTGGCTTTCTTCGGGACACTGAGCATCACCTCCAGGCCATCCTTGAGCTCCCCCTTCCCTTCTTCACAGCAAGTTAAAAGTTCCTGGGGGAAAAGTCCAAACGCAATTAGAACCATCTCCCCCAGCTTCCCCACCCTCTCAGCACCAAACCCATTCAGGCAATTACACACAGAGTCAGTCTCTACAATGGCTCCCTCTAGCTATAAGGGAAGTGCGGTGAGGTGGGATGGGATTAGCTCCAAAGAATTCAACCACAGTTTTTTCCCCCAACAGAGCTCCCTCAGCTCAATCTCATCCAAACTAACTCAATTCAACCCAAATGGCAGGGTGTACTCTGACACTTGACTGCCCTCCTGGAGAAGAAAATGCCCCTTGCAAAGCACAGGAACAGAGGCACAGTCCTGTAGAATCATGAAGAGAAGACAAGGGTATACAAAGAATGCTCAGCTTTCATTTGTCACCTGCACTTGTGTGTACACACCTCTACTGCCTGAATGCTGACTCCCATCGTGCTGGGAGCAATCTGGGGCTACAGACATCATAGGTTTATGGCATTTCAGAGTTATAAAAGATTTTTAGATCCTACGGCTCAGGAGTTCCTAACCTGGGGCCAACAGATGGGATTCTGTACTAGTCCTTTCATTGTCAGATGAGGAAACTGATTAAGGGGAATAGAGATTCTCCCCAGGTTACAGAATTCTTTGGAGGTAAAGTAATGCAGGGGATTGAATGCAGGTTTCTTAAATCCAAGTCCAGTGGTGCATCCACCATGCCAACCCTGGCTCCTCCAAGTCCTCCACCACACTGAGACTTCCTGGAGCAGGCCCTCTCTTTTACCTCCTCACTGGAAACTAGGTCATTACCATCTCTATAAAAGATATAGAGTATTTGGTTGATGGAGAAAAGCAAATTTCCAACTATCCTAGGAATCATAAAGACCATTTGAAATGATTTTGGCCAAATCAGAAAAATGCTGGCTTTGATTTTTCTTATCAGGCTTATTGTATCTTGCTCACTTTGACCCTGGGAAGGAAACAGTTAAGCAACAGATCTGCATTCCATACTGTCTCCTTGGGGAGTTGAGGGTGGGGGGAGGCAGGGGATGGGTGGATGGGTGGGGATGCACTTTCAGGAAAGAAAGAAGTTGAGCAGATCAAGCCTTGTAAACATGTAAACTACAGAATTTCTAGCAAATAAATGAATGACACTTGCTCTGGAATGCCTTTAGTAGAATAGATGTGGCCTATTGATTCAGGACACCTTATGGGAAATATACCTGGAATCTGGGGCTCTATGGGCATAGCTCCCTGGAAAGTATCATGTAAGCTATACAACTATTTAAGTAAAAGGTAGGTACACTTCATGACCAAAATGGCTCTCTTCAGGGTAGGTGATATAATACATCATTTGGAAACCTTGTATGTTGATCCAGGCCCCAGCACATCCTGACGTTGCCAGAAGGAACTTAGAACTGCTGGCAGACTTCTCTCTCTTTTACTTCTGCCCTAAGATTATTTGTATCCTTGGAACTACAACCATGCACCACTTAACTATGGGGATACGTTCAGAGAAATGTGTGATTAGGGGATTTTGTCATTGTGTGAATATCATAGAGTGCATTATCAGAAACCTGGATGGGCTAGCCTATTACTCCTAGGCTACAAGCCTGTGAAGCATGTCACTATATAAAACGATATGAGATTAAACCAAGCACAAGAGAAAATGCTGCAATCAAGAGAAGAGGCAAACATGATGTATATGAACCTGATGCCAGGATAACACAGATACTGTTTTGTAGGAAACTATTTTTTAGAAGTAGAAAGAGTACACTCTAAAATAATAAAAGAATAGTAAATGCATGAACCAGTAAGAGTCATTTATTATTATTACCAGATGTTATGTACTGTACATAACTGTATGTGCTATACTTATATATGACTGGCAGTGCAGTAGTCTTGTTCATACCAGCATCACCACAGCACATGCACAATGCATTGTGCTACCACACTATGATGGCTATGACATTGCTAGGTGTTGGGAATTTTTTTCAGCTCCATTATAATCTCATGGGACCACTGTCATATATGCCATCTACTGCTGGTCAAAGTGCACTTGGTAAGATATCCAATTAGTGAGCATCTGGTATGAAAATCCAATCCTTTGTGTTATCTTGGACACATTCCACATGAAGAAGGGAGCTTTGAGTGCCCACAGAAGAGGTGAACTGCCCAGAGCACATGTTTGGAAGGTAGAAGGGACCACTTCTCAGCTCTGTCCTTGGTACCACTCAGTGTAATGGCATCATTGTTCACAAAGCTGGTTTTCTTCCCCCAACCTGAACTTCTCTGACTCTCCCCACCACTTTCCTTATTCTAACCCACCCACCCTTGTTTTCACACATCATCAAAAGGAACTTCTAGGCAGAAACATAAGAGAGAAATAAGAAATAGACTTCAGTTCACAACAGAAAACACCAATTAGTTTAACTCCCAAAGCAATTTGGCAAACCTACTAATCACCCAGGAGAGCCAATAAGTTCTACTCAGATCCTGGCGATAGTTTATGATAAGGAGAAGGCTTCACATTTCATTTATACCCCAAAGGACAGTTGCAGCAGATTTGCACAGAGAATATTGAACATTTAAACTGATATATAGTTTTTACTTTCATGTAACACCTAAAGTGAGGAACCCCAGAGGATACTGATAATTAAATATCAATTTATTTGGAATAAAACTGACTTTAATGAGAAAATAAATCCCATGTTATTTATTTATAGGAAAAGCTCAGCAAACTATTTTTCTTTTACTTGGCAGGCATTATGCTACCAGCACATTTAAAAGAGGCCGAAATTATCTTAAATGTTTTTTCCAATAACTCTACCACTTCTCCACAACCAAATTCCCATGACTTTATTTTTTCCCATCTCAGTTACGTACACAGTCATGTCTTCCTAAAACATTCAAGACAGAATGAAAACCCAGAGCCCACCCTCCATCTGCCTAAAGCGAGACACAGGACAGCCATCCACTCCCCACTTCCTCCCTGTCACAGAATTAATGCCCGGAACCTCAGCCTTATGGGTTTAAAAGGGAGAGGTGAAAAGCTGTCTTTCTCTTAGAATTGCATCTTAACTGATTTAAGACACTGTCCGTGTCGATGGGGGAGTTAATCACCCCACCCCCAATTCCTGAAAAGGCTTGGGGAGACTTAAATTTAAAACAACAACAACACAAAAATAAATTTAAAAAACCTTTTGGCATAAGGAAAACCATTCTGTGGGAGAGGAAAAAGGGAGGAGAATTACACACAGAAATCTGGGCTAAGGAGAAACTACCGTGAGTAACCGCAGAACTCAACGCTAACTCTCTGGCAGTCAGAGGACCAGAGGATCTAAAGGTAGAAAGCACTCCAGTCTTTCAGGAGAGAACTGCCCCACCCCCTGCGAGCCCCACCCTGAGATCTTAGGAGAAATTCTGGGTCTTCATATTAGAAACTCCAAAACATAAAGAGGAGGACAGCTTCAAACAGCAGTTCTGCCCAAACAGCCGAGATGTCCTGCCCATTGCCATTTCTGACACTAGCCCTCGGCAAAGGCCATGGACAAGTTGCCGAGTGTAATTCTCTAAGTCATCTCTGCAGAGTCCGATAACTGGGGCGCCTGGGAGCAGCAGCCCATAGTCTCTTCTTGGAGACAGGAAGGAGATTCGAAGGAGGTGGCTGCAGGGGAAGGATGGTGCATGGCCCTGCCCTGGCCCCTAAAGGGAAGAGAGGTCCAAGGCCCAGGCCCACTGCTGCCCCCACTCTGCTCATCCTGGAACCACATGTGCTGAGCCCGGGAGACCACGGACCTGACTGGTGGGCACACTCTCTAACATGAGTAGAAACCCAGATTAGAAACTAGGCTGGTTTTCAGGGCTAGTGCAGCCAGAATATGTGAGATTCTGCAAGCAGGAGTTGAATTTCTAAACATGAGCTGATTTTCATTACATTTTCTCTGGAACTATACCACTTATAACATGCCCTCTCACTATCCTTTGCATTTGAGGAACAACTGGCAAAATATTCAAACTTAGGGAAAACTGCACTTACACATCTTAAGAATTCGGATAGACAGTCGTTATATAACTGCCTATGATATCAATTTCCCGGGCTTTCTTGTGGGGAAATGTCATATTTTCAGATTGTCAACACATCCTTCTCTGAGTAGCAGCAGCCCAAACTACTTAGTAGTTTACATCATTTTATTTGACTTTTAAAGAAAAGATTTTGGAGGAAACCCTAATCTCTTGGTTGGCTCCAGGAGAACTTCTAATATATGGGATCCTACAGACACCGAGTGGTTTGAATAGGCATTCTTTGATCAACTACTTTCCCTCAAAAACCTTTTGTCTGACAAACCAGGGATTATGGCAATGGCAAGTACTGCCCTGGGTCTCCATGCCCACGCAGACTGGCACTGCCCCTAAGACCTTGGCCCCTGATCCTGTCAGAAGCAGGGGCCATGAGGGGGAATCTGCCCTAGGAGGCAGGGACAGGGGAGGCTTTACCTACCAGCCAGTGGCTGGGGTGGCAATCACTCAAAGTGATGCAGTGGTGGGTAGGTGGGAAAACAGTCACCTCTGTTCCTGCTCCCAGTTCCCTCTTTCCCCCAGTGAATGAGCATCTGGAATTTGAAGGGAAGGGACATGCAGACTGGAGCCAGCGATGCAAGCATGGGCTCATCACTCAAGTTCTGGTCTGGGCAGAGGAAAGGCCTTCAGGTGGAAGCTCTCCCATCCTTGACAAAGCAGGACCCCCTGGGCCCGGCAGGGGGTAGGCGGAGACACCGAGGGCAGGGGAGATACCTTCAGGAGCAGTTGGTACTTGGTGATCCTCTGGACTGGCTTGATCAGGTAGGAAGAGATGGAGTTGGCCAGACCGTGCCGCTGCTGTATCTCCTACAGGATGGAAACGAGCACCATCAGACACGGAGGGGCATGTGCATGTGTGTTCTGGCAGGAGGCAGGTGGGGTAATAACAGAGGCGAAAGGAGAAAAGGTAGGCAATTATGAGAAACCTCTTTGATGGGGAAAGGGAATGAGAGACTAAGGTGCATGTAGAAATA